GCACACAAATAATAAAACTTCTTAGTAAAAAGTGCACAATAAATAAATACATGAATATATAAATAAATTTACAGAACCCCCCAGGTGACTCAGTGTCTTAACCTAGAATTGAATTTATTTCAATATATTTCAGTTTATTTTCTATTCAAAGACTTCATAAACAGGAATTCGCCATGAATTTCCTTTCTTTGTCAAGAAATGATTTTCTTTTTGTTTTTCTCCTTACAATTGACAATTTCTCGAATGTCTTAAAATTGATTATGTAATATATGTAAAAAAAAATAAGTAAATAAAAATATATATATCGTAGTGTAATAATCAGATCAATCCATCAATCTTAATCGGATCAATGGAAATGGAAATGTGCCCCGAAATGAACGGTGATAGTGAAAAATCTTTAGACGGATTATCGTTTAATTTGTGTCCGAAACCATGTCCCCTTATTTTCTCCCTCTCTCCCTCTCTCTCTCCTTTTCTCTCTCTCTCTCTATCTATCTCTCTATCTCTCTCTCTCTCTCTCTCTCTCTTTCTGTGTTTCTCTCTTTGTCTTTTTTCGGTTTTTTATCAATGCCTCGCATGAATGCTTACCTAGCTTTGCATTTTAATACCGCGATAATTCCTATCATCACTACTTTGAAGATTTCCATAATTTTCCAATGTTCTGATCGATACTTCTACTACTAGGTATAGTTCACCTCTTTAGTATAACAGTAGTGACCAGAGTATTATTCGCTTTATAACTTTTTAGTGTTCACTCCTTTAAAATTTGAATGAATTGCTGCTCGTTGCTAGCTGAAATACTGGCTTGTGCAAGTTCGCGCGGCTAATGTTCGAATGCTTTGGCATTTTTCGAAATCTTCATGAAATCTTTGACTGCAATTTTAGTATTAACATTATTTGGGCGCTGTCTTAGGACACTCATTGTTCACTATCGTCTCCAAGTTCGATATATTTACGGCAAAAATGCCTGCATTTTACGAGAAAAAAAAAAGATAAAAATTTGATTAGGAAAACTGGTACACCGTAGTTAAGGGATTGCGTTGCGTGAATGTTACCTAAACACGAAAAAAAATATATGAAAGTAAAATTTAAGTGCTTATGACACTTTATGACTACACCTGTCCAACACATTACACGATTTGACTCATCATCTCAATGTCGATGGACGAGTCGTGATCGCAATTGAGATCACATTTCTTAAGGCAGCCACAAATGTCATAATAAAAATTACTTCAGAGAATTCCGAGATTTCCACTTAAAAGCACAAACACTTGGATGCCTGAATATACGCTACGCATCCTGGAGTGAAATTTTTAACACAAAATTCGATTTTTCTTTTTCCGAAAAGAACTGCAAAGGCAACCATTATAGGTCGGCATAGTGAACGAGATCGCAACTTTAGCACTGCGTATAAACGTAGAGGCGTAACTGAACGAATTCAGGGCGATTTTAATCCCATAATATTTTTGCAAAACCTTATGAAACTTCTCATGCCCCTATATAATTTCTTGCAAAAAGTTTTCCGCGGTACGTTACGTTACATTGAATAAGTTTGCATGACATCAAACATTGAGCTACGAATAACGAATGACTAACTGAGAAAAATGTTTTTTTTCTGCCATTTGCTTGCAAGAGATGGTTATCTCATGCCGCTCGGCAGAAATGCTGCTTGCACTTAGCGACTGACATACAGTTTTATATCATATTCCAAAGTATACTGTGGACTTCTATCCCGCAATTTATTTTCTTAATAAAATTTTTACGTCTCTGGAGCATTGCTATCTTCATTCACTTAGTATTGCTTTCATGCCACAATTCTCTCTTCAAATAAGGCAAACTTTAGCCTGCTTTTGCTTGTCCAGGCAATTAAGGTTTTTCCTTGAAGTTAATGTCTTCTAGTCGCCTATGATTTCTTTTCTGAAGGAAAACGGTATTTTTGTATAATTTCTTCTTCTTCTTCTTCTTTTTCTACCACTATATCATTAATTGCTCCATACAAAGAATCTATAAAGTCAAGTATTTTCTGTTCTCAGAATTATACCAGCACTCGTAGCCTTAGCTTTCTTTGAGTAAAGCCCAATAAATTTTAATCCATCTGAAGCTTAAGTATCAAAAAAGACATAATGACTTATGTTAAGTTTGGGTTTGAATGAATTCCCAATTCCCAAGTTATGTAGAACCGATAATGGCAAAGTGCCATTTATTATACTCGATAGTTATTTGAAAAGATTAAAAAAATGAAAGTAAATTTAATTTTTATAAAAATAATTCTATTCGATTTTCAGTAAATCAATTAAAATCTTGCGATTTGAAAAATCTACAAAATCGGTTCACCGCCGAATCATGTCAATCTCTTATTTAATTCAACTGATATTGTTAACTTGCTTGTCCTTGCCCTTGACGGGGATCTGGTGCCATAGACGTAATTATGAATTGCAACAAAACAAAGCAGCCATACCGTTATGGAAGCAAAGAATAGGTAGTTGACGTGAAACAAAAAAAAAAAAAAAAAAAAAATTCCCAAAACTATTGATATAAATTTATGATTAAAACCTTATCATAATCTTTTAATCCTTTCTATGTCACTCATTAACTGCGATGAAGGCTTGCGAGAAAGCGAGAAAACACAAAGCCTCATCTCATTATATATGCGATGACAGAGGTGACGTTAAATGCCTGCCCGGCTGGCAGGGTGATTTATGTCAGGTACCGATGTGCCGTAGAGGATGCGATCCCATGAATGGTAAGTCATTTGACTGGCATTCGCTGAAAATGTAAGGTTTAATTGTTTTTGTTATTGTTGTTGCTATTGCTATTGCTGTTGCTATTGCTATTACTATTGCCGGTGTTCATATCGTTGTTGTTACTTATCGTTGCCATCAGGATATTGTCAGCGTCCTGGAGAATGTCGCTGCCGCATTGGCTACACCGGCGATTTGTGTGAAAAATGTATACCTTTGCCCGGCTGTCAGCACGGTGATTGCACAAAACCCTTTGAATGTTTATGTCGTTCCGGTTGGCTTGGTCTGTTTTGCACAGAACGTAGGTGTTTAACGTTGAGAGGCAAAAATGATTGAGTGAAAGAAAGATAGCTAGAGAGAGAGAGAGAGAGAGAGAGAGAGAGAGAGAGAGAGAGAAAGATAGAAAGACATATAAATCGAGAGAGAGAGGGAGAACTTTAATCTTTCTTACTTAAGAACAAACAAAAAATTCTTTCCATTTAATTAATACCTTTAGCTACTTGCCGTACGGGTTGCCATAATACGCGCGGCTATTGTGAGGCACCAGGTGAGTGTCGCTGCCGTCTTGGATGGGCCGGACGAAATTGCAGTGATTGCTCTGTGTTACCTGGCTGTCAGTACGGCACTTGCAATAAGCCTTTAGAATGTAACTGTCTGTCAGGTTATACCGGCCTATTGTGTTCGACACGTAAGTCGCTGTTCTCTTGCATATCCTGCGTATAGTCTCGCTTAAGTGATATTTACTCTATTTTTAATGTTTCTACTACTACTACTACTACCACTACTGTTACTACTACTACACTACTGTTTTCGTTGTTGTTACTCTTGTTGTTTTTGTTAACGTTGTCGCTGCTGTTATTGTTTCGCTTTTCAAGCCATTTGTGCCGTCAATTGTCATAAACAACACGGTTACTGTCGTAAACCGGGCGAATGCCGGTAAGTTTTTAATGTTTTAATGTTAGCCGTAAAGTAAAAAATATATTACTTATTGTTTTTTTTATTTTTTTATTTTTGTTGTTGTTGTTGTTCTTTTCTTTCACAAAACAAAAAAAATTATTCAAGCTGTAAAGTAGGTTGGATGGGAGAAAATTGTGATAAATGCTTTCCGTATCCGGGTTGCGTTAACGGCGACTGCGAAAGGCCCTGGGAATGCAACTGTGCACCCGGATGGGGTGGTCTTTTGTGCGACGAAAGTGAGTATGAATACAGGTCAAAAGCTTAATGGGGAGTGAAAGTGAAAAAAGCAATTGAATAGAAACCGGTTCATTTAACCGTAACTATTTGGTTACGTTATATATATATACATGTATATATGCATTTTCCATATCAATTATTCGAGTTATTCGAGATTTAAAATAAGTTTTGATAAATTTTAAAATTCTTTTTTTTTTTTTTTTTTTTTTTTTTTTGATTATTTTAAATTGTTGATGCAATAGAGTATAAATGTAATAGTCGGTAAAAACAACTCGAATAATCGGATCAAAAATCAGGATTAATTGATTAAAACCAAATTGCATGGTTGATTATGAACAGCAACTAATTTTTCTACTTAAAATTCTCTCCAATTGATTTTTTTTTTTTCATTGTACATTTTATTAAATGTTTTATGAATTATTTATTTATTAAGTTTTTTTTTTTGTTTGTTTTTTTTTGTTTTTTTTTTGTTTACATTCTCAAGAACTGTCGTTTTGTGATGACAATCCAAATACTTGCAAAAATGATGGTAAATGTGTGTCCGTACTCAGGGAAGACGGCAATTATCGTTGTCGCTGTAAACAGGGTTATTTGGGTAAAAACTGCGAGATAGTTGATGAGTTCTTGCTGACCTCAACGATGGCACCTCGTATAACGCCACCGCCGCCGCCCAATCAACAGCAAGTAGTAACGGCGATGAATGATAAAGATAGCGGAGACGAGAGTAATGACAATGATGAAGACGGCGATGATGATGATGATGATGATGATGATGATGAAGGAAATTATGTTGCGAATGCTGTTAGTGAAAATCTTGACATACATGCGACGGAAGACGAAAGATTAAATAAAACGGAAATCCATCAAGAAGAGAAACCTTTAACAGGTGGTTGGAATGCAAACAAAAGCAATAAAACATTTGTTGTAACGAATAATCCAAAAATAATTGACTTTGTGTTAAACAATGATAGCACCACCCCGGGCTGGTTGACTTCTGTTATTGATACGCCTAATAAAAGGGATCTCATTAATGTTGCTAAAAAGGATATTGAGCGAATGACAGCAACAACAATAAGAGCAACACCAACGACAGCAACAACAATAACAACACCAACTACGCATGGGAAAAGAAGAAGAACGGAAGCATTATATGAACGAAACTTAACGAAATATTCTTTGGATTCAAAGCCAAGAATAAAACTTCAGAGAAAGGATATCGAAAAAAATTTGACAATTATTTCCAGTGACTTAACAACGACAACAACATCCAGAACAATAGTAGAAAAAATAAAAACAACGACAAAAGCTAACGACTCTAAAAGGAAAACAGCAATAATAACAACAACAACGAGCACTTTGTCACCCTTAAGTAAACTGGATGATGAGGAAAATCAACATACATTTAAGTTGAAACCGGATGCTAACACAAATGTTGTCGGAAATGATGATGATAACACCGATGATGAGGATGATGATGAAGATGGCGATGAGGACGACGAGAATGAGGATGACGATGAGGATGAAAATGAGGATGAGGATGAGGATGAAGATGAGGATGAGGATGAGGGCGAAGATGAAGATGAAGATGAAAATAATAATGATAATGAGGATGAGGATAAGGGCAATGAGAAAAAGAATGATAATGACGATGTCGTTGACGATGGCGATAGCAAAAATGATGATGACGATGATGACGACGAGTAAAATTAAATTTAGAAAAGAGAAAACTTTTAAATTATTTATATATTTATTTGTAGTTTTATTTATTGAAGCAAGTGCAATGTTTATAAATAAATCCAATTAATCGAATCACTTTGCGTCACTTATCTTCACCTCATATTGATAACACTTAACGAACTTAAACGAAAACAAAAGGTGTGAAGATAAATTCGAATTTAATTAGGAAAGACCCCTAGCATATCTCTGTTAACGCTTTAACAGAGCTCTGCTAAATTATTAAATCTAAGAGTTAGTTGGATTTGAAAACCGACTCCGTCCATATTAAACAACGTAAAATATTTTCACATAGTTATAGTTCCCGAAAGAAAAGTTCGATTTTATTTATTTTTTTTTTTTTTGCTCATTCAACACACATTTTTATATAGATTCGCATGATATAGGTGAAAATAGGTGGCATTTTCTAGTTTGGCCGCACCAGAGCCCTTAAATTCGGTTGTTTTTATTGCTATGCACCCATTTTTCGCTAACACACCAAATATCAAAAAATAGTGAAAATAGTTCCCATAAGCAAAATTGGAATTTGTTTAGTTTGTTTGAAAGGTATTTTCATATAGATTTATGAAATGCTCACAAAAATATTTTCCTTTTTTTAATATGGACGGAGTAGGCTTTCAAATGCAACTATATTTTCATTTTAATTATTTAACAGAGCTCTGTGAAGGTCTTAACCGAGTTTTCCTCACAGATATGGTAAGTGTCTTTGCTAGTTAAATTCGCACACTTACGAAAAAAATCTTCTTTAGATTTCCAAGATATTCATTTTACTTTTCATTTGTGTTTTTTTTTTTTTTTTTTTTTTTTTTTTTTTAAAATTAAAAACAAGTATTTAACAATACCATACCCCAGGTTGTATTTAATGGGCAAGAGAAAAAAAAAAAAAAAACGAATTTTCTTTGCAATTTTATTTATTTATTTGATAATCGGTTGATCTATTCGATCGAAAAAATATCGTATTTATTAATTATAATAATCCATTTGATTGAGGTTATGGTTGAGACGTTCTGTTTGTGGATCAATAGTTGGTCTATCCAATGGTGAGAGCTCACGCACCAAATACTGGCCATTATCGGCAGTGCAAAGGAAATTCATTTTACAGCACTCAGGATAGGGTCGATGCAAGTTGGTAGGATCTATAATGCGGCAATCGCGCATATGATGATGACCACAACTAATAGTTAAAGGAAAATGTATTTTTATTTTTTTTTTTATTTTCTCTTTACATTATGAATAAAACTTGAATCGAAATCTTACCCTTGAACCAGGATTGAACCGTCATCGTTGCAATGGAGATTTTGGCAAGAAGATAGCATGTTATTGTCACCGCGTTGCAGCATCATGCCATGATACATACAAACGCCAGGACGGCCAATCTCTAAAGAGTGCGAAAAGAGTGAGGAAAATTTCAAAATATTTAAATTTTATTAAATTTTTTTTAATTAAAATATTCACTCACTAGCCGGTATATAGAAACTATAAGTGTTACTGAGCACAATTAAGGATAATAAACAATTTAAAATTAGAAATCCTTTCATTTTGTTGCGTTAATTGAGAGGAGGAAAAGATCTGTTCTGAATTGTTAAAGTCTTTTAAAACAACTGCTATTTTTCATAGATTTTTTTTCGATTTTTATATATATTTGAAAAACAAGTTTTATTATCAGCGAGCGGAAATTTTGTCTTGTTTTTAAATAAAAGTAAATTATTATCACCACCAGCAACAGTTGATTGACCTAAAAAAATCTTCTTTTTAAACAGAAAATTTATATAATTTAATCTATTATACCTATACTTAGCATTGGAATTATTAATTTTTTATTTTTTTTTTTTTTTTTTCAATCTTTATCGCAAGTCACTTTGATCCCTTTCTTATTGATCTTACTTTTCAAAAAAATTTTATTATTTTTTTTTTTTTTGGGTTTCAAGTTTGAACATTCCAATTCAAATCGATTCTAATGAATGCATAAACGCCATCAAGAGACCCGCTAATTGCATCTAAGAGCATTGAATAAAAACTTAAAAAAAAAAATCGCCTAATCAACGTAAGAGCTATCGGTGCACAAATACGTATAACCGCATCAAAAGTGAAAAGGAAACAAATCAAATAATCTGTAAAAATGTTAGATAATCGGATAAACGAAACAGGTAAGTATTTACAATTTAAATAATCGAATAATTGATCCAAGAAATCAGGGATAACGGAATCAACGAGTCTAGTAAAGAAAGAAAGAAAGCAAGCAAAACAAATAACAACATAATGATCTCAAAAGACGAATAATAGAAGGAATACCCAATTTAGAAAAAGAAATTGAAAGCAAATGAAACTTTTCAAATCAAGTAATCGAAACAAAAGATTTTAACGTTAAGCCGAGTACAAGAACGAATTCTAATCGATTCGGACAAACCCCCAAGATAGGTAAGTTCAATACATATACAAAAAGCAAGTGTCATGTATTTGAAAACCGATTGATCGGATCAAAATTACTCAAATAGAGACAGGAAAAAATATATGAACTGACCGATTTATATAAATATTCGATAACCAAATACAGAAAGTAAATGAATATTTACTAACAGCAAACGCCGGCCAGAGCAAGCAGTAAGCAGACGAATTATTACAAAATGGCTATCTAACCGCATACTACTCATGACATCGTGACAAATTCAAAATATTAATTACAAGAGCAAATTAGGCTACCTAGCCTAGCAACTAAAGCTATCGCCTTTATTAAAAATTCTACTGGACTTTAGATTCGAACTGACGACCATTCATATTCATTTAATTCAATAACATTTCATAAAACTCTAAACGTTTATACATATTTATATATATAATATAACGGAATATCATCCCGAAGTTGCTATTTTTTCCTTGCAATTTACTCTTATGGCAACTCCTTCGTGTCTAATGTAAAAAGTGTTGTTAACTATTGCTTTTAGATATGCGCAGCTGTAAAGTTTGTTATTTTTCTCTAACATGTAACATATCTATGTTATTTGTATAAAATTGTTAGCTTAATAATCATGGTTAAGTCAATAATGTAATTTTAAATAAGCAATATTTAAAAAATAACGGATACTTGTGTGTGCATTGGATGCACACATATCGAAAAAGCTGTAAACTAATGTGTCTGAATGAATCAATTCATAAAATTATTTCAATACTTTGTTAAAACACATTAGCGGTGCTTTTGTCGCATTCAATGTAAGATTTAAATAAGTAAACTTCACTGAAAAGTCGCTTTACCAAAACCCTACGATGATGCGCAGTTTTTAGGAGATCTCGTAGCGCTGAATCAGTAACTATAACGTGTGTACAAGCATTTTTCTTTTAATAAGAATCAAACCACTTTGGACATTGGACCGTTCGTTGAATTGGCTGACAGTCCAGCAACTTGCGGAAAGTAGCGCACACAGTTTTTGAAAGATATCTGGCCCTTCAAACTAAATAAATCGAGATGACAAATTGTTGGAAGTAAGGTGCAAATTGACAAAGATAGTGAAAAGAAAAAGATGAAGAGGATAAAAAATTGAAAGAAAGGCTGATAATCAACAATTTCGACGTTCAATGACAATGCGATTTGAAAATGAAATTGTTAAACTTTGCAAAGAGGAAAATGATGGAGATGTTGACAAAACAAGATCTCATATACTCACACATACATATATTAACATGAAGTGAAATAGAATTATAAATTGGGTTAGTAATGTATAATGAACATGTCCAGCTTTTCTATTATAAGTGAAAGTTTACGTTTAAGTTGTTCTTGAATTAAATATATTTTCAAAATATAGACTTAAATAAATATTTTATTTAAAAACATTTTTATTAAATCAATTTTTTCTCCACGATGTCTTTCATATTTTTTATAAATTTCCTTAAATTCTTTACTTTTTGCTTTATAATAATCCACGTTCTTTGCTTACAAGTAGTGTAAATGTTTTTAGCTATAAGGAAAGTTTGGCATCAATTACGCAGCTATAGAACTATGGAAGAATTTGTTTTATGAATGTTATATAAAGCGCAACAATGACAACACTATTATGATATGAATAAAAACTATTTTAATTTTATATGAGAATAATAAATTATAATCACCCTTTACGCAAGTCAAATAATAGTTAAGGCTGGTAATGCTCTCTGTAGTTTAATTTGATAACTGCTGAAATCTGTCTGTTTAATTTTCTCACATATACCCCATAACAGCAGGAAGACGCAATTGGCAAAAGCGATGGAATAACTCCACTTTTGGTTACGCAAATGAATGTTAGACCAAGTTTCACTCTTTTCAACCACAGTCGCGACATCATATGGTTCATTAAGAGATTAATGGACGATGCCCTTTGCTCCTCTACCATCTCATCTAGATGTGTTTTGGAAAATACGCGAACTAAACGTATATAATTTTACAAGTTAGCCTAAAAGTAGACCGCCATAATTTTTATTATCAAATTAAATAGTTAAATGGTAATGCCATTCAGCTGTGTTAAAGCCGTACAAAGCCGGCCGCATAACAGAGGGAAACCTCTATTAAACAATTGTAGTCGTAATAAAAAGAACTAAAAATATATGATAATATATTTACCATTTAACCACAAAATTTTTGAAAAATGAATAGATTCACTACCGTCAACAAATAAGCATAAGACTCCGATTTTAATTAATAATTTACATTAATCGTTAAATTTATTAAGAATTCTATGGTCACACTGTGTTTTTTTATTAACGGCCCGAACCATCTGTTATTAATTTGCTAAACATTCAAAAAGAAGAAGATGAATATATATATATATATGAAATAACAGCTGTTTATTTATACTTTTAGCTAGAAAAAGTATTTTTCCGAAGAAAAGTAAGTTTGTTTTTTTTTCGAAAATATGAGAAAAATTTACTAGATTTTTTAAGCAAAATAATTATTGGGTGGTTCAAGAGTGAATTAAAAGAAAAGTGTAAGTTTTATTAGCGCTTTCCTGGAGATATATATTTATATATATATATATATATATATATATTCGTTTAGCAGAAGTGTGATGTAACCGTTCAAAAAACTTGTTTAATAATTATCATAGTAATAAATTTTCTTTTGTTTGTTTAACGATCTTTTTCCGAAACGTAAATAAAAAAGAATGACTGCCGTATTAAGATTGGGCTTCATGCGCCTGTGCCAGCGTCCTGCAACGACGGCAGGCGCTGTTAACCAGCAACGTTTCATTTCGGGCAAAACTATGCGTGGTGGTCCTCGTGTAATAACTCATAAGCCTTTTCCATACAAGGAGAAGAACTACAATGTTTTCACGTCAATGATCGATAAAACCACACCACGTTTAAATGATAATTCCAAGTTAATTTGTGTTGAAGGCCCCATAGCGGCCGGAAAAAGTAAGCTTGCTAAAGAATTAGCTGCTGAATTGGAAATGTTGTACGTGCCCGAAGCGAACATGGATATGTATTATATTAACCCATACGGATACGATATGCGTTTATTAGATCCAAAAATGCCTGAAAGCTGTCGTTCGTTTGATGTTCCGAAATTCTGTAAAGATCCTAATCATTTTTTGGCCGCATCTTTTCAAATAAAAATGTACATGCTGCGTTATAGTCAATATGTGGATGCTTTGGCTCATATATTGTCGACCGGCCAAGGTGTAGTTTTGGATCGTTGCTGTTATTCCGACTTTGTTTTCATGGAGACTATGCATAAACATGGCTATATATCGAAAGAGGCACGTTCGGTTTACCATGAATTACGTCAAAATACTATATACGAAGTATTGAGACCCCATTTAGTCATTTACTTAGATGTGCCAGTGCAAGGCGTTAAGGTGCAAGAAATTTTTAAAGAATTTAAAATATTGTTTATGAAATAATTTTTCTTACGGTTTAGGATAAAATCAAAGCCCGTAATATTGAATATGAAGTCAATTCGAAAGTGTTTACGGACGATTATTTACGAAGCATGGAAAACTTCTATAAGCAGCATTTTCTAAAAGATATTTCGATACATGCCGAACTTTTAATTTATGATTGGACTGCCGGCGGTGAAACTGAAGTAGTCGTCGAGGATATCGAGCGCATTGATTTCGATGCATTCGAAGAAGATCCAATGGAAAAGAAAATGAAGGACTGGCGTTTCCCTAACGAGGTGGAATGGTGTGAGGCCCGCATTAAGTATGCTAGTCAAAAATCGGATCTTATGAATTACTTTAATATACCGTGCTTTGACGTACCTGAATTGTTGCGTGACGCTGATAGCTCCAAAATTTACCGTGACGTCTGGTACAATGTAAGCAAACGTTCAGTAGGAAGCTAAACAAGTGAAAAGAAATTATATTTGCTTTTCTCTTTATTTCCAGGCTCCCGGCATGAAATATCGCCCGGGCTATAACGAAGACATGGGTGATACGGGTTTATTAACCAAAACCAAATCTCCATACCGTGATAATTTCCTATAATGTCAATCATATAGAGTTTGAAAAACTTTTACCTTTCAATGAGGGAATTAAATAATTTAAAAAAAAGCTTTGTATTTAATGCTTCATTCTTTTTTTCTTTTTCAATTAATTGGTCTTGTTCGTTTATTGTGTTGTAAAGCGATAGTATGTTAATCTAAATGGATAATTGCCTCTAGCATTCGCCGCAATCAAATCCCCTCTTTTTTTTACTGCTTCGATCAACAATTTAGCAATGGATTGATGCATTAATGTTTACGAGAGGAAGCTTTACATTTTTTATATAAACTTACATGGTATGGTAGATGTCTCTGATGACAAATGCAGCTTTTTTTATTTTTGTAATGTACCTAAAGCTTTTTCTATTTTTATTGCCTAGACAGGAGCACTTTCGAGCAAATTGTGCACAGCTTGTCAGAAAATAGTTGGTCTCCTCTCGGTCCGTTTTTACCATTATCCTGACAACTGCACAATAATTTGCTGCTCACTCTTCAATCTCCGCGCATTATTTGCATCGCAGATGTGTTTAACTTTTCAAAAGATTTCACTATCTGGTAAAATTATTGCAACAGATTGTTGCACCTCTCATATATTTAATACATCATCTTCAATGAAACTTTTTTCTTTATACGAGCAAATTCCTATCTTTATAGTTTATACTTTTCGTGCGTAAACTCCTGTTGTCGTTTTTAACACAGTTTGTTCACGTATTCTTTTGTTGTCTCGAGGCAGTGGCGGATGGTTTACTTCCACAATTTCAACTAAAAACAAAGAACTCATTTCAAAGATTTGTGTATATCCTTGTTTAAGCCTTAAATTAGTCAGGACGCTGCGTACGCATATCGATTAATTTTATAAATATAGGGCTCATCTTCAGCTAGTTTTACATCAAATGAAATAAATTTTTATTATAAAATGCAAGAACGACTTTCGGGCCATCGACCGGGCACTGTTTATGTCGGTTTTTTATTCCCATTAAAGCTTAATATATCACATGACGAATAATGGTTTTACTTAAACGATACCGTACTATGACAAAGGAATTCGTAGTGATACCAAACTAACTCTTCATGAGTGATTCTGAAAATGTCCGCAACTCTTTTTTTTGATGGTATAATAAAAAAAAGTCTTTTAGTTCTTGCCAAAATTAAACAAATTTTTTTATATTTTTTTTTTATTTTTTTTTATTTATTTTTTATTAAGAAATCATTAAAAGTTTATTTTCATACAATACATTATCATTTTCATTTTTTTTCAAATAATTTTTTACAAGCAATTAATAAAATTATGTTTAATTATATTAGAGAAATACACACATATATATATATATATATATATATGTATATAATTGCGTTAATAATTTAATAAAATTTTGATTACTATTAAGAAAAACATTAACAAACAATTAAACTAAAAAGAAAAAGAAACGAAATAAAAAAACTTTTTCCCATTAGTAGAAAATTATTTAAATTGTGACAGAGAATTATTTAAGTTAGAGGAGAGATCGAAATAAAATGTTTCGATTTGATAATTTTAACTAAAAGGAAAAGCTTTCATTAATTATTATTGCAATTAATTTATGTAATTTTATTGTATTTATAATAATTATACGACCAGTACCTGGGAGAAAGGTTTATTTGCTATTCGGGGAAGAAAGAAAGTAATTTCACATAATTATATTAAATCTCTAAATTGATTATAAATTATATAAAAAATATTTTTTTTTTTTTTGATTTTTCTTATTTTACAAAGTTTACAATAATTGTGACTTAACTTAGCAATTACGTTCCAAGCCGGTAAATGTAAGGCAGAATTTTTATATGACTGAAATAATCACCACCGTCGAAAGAAAAACCTCTTGTTGTAAGCATTTTTCTACGTATTAAGGAAGCTTCTCAACTCTCTTTTATTTTGTTTGATAAAAAAAAAAGGCAAAAAAAAAAAAATAAAAACAAAAATGAACTGTTGACTTTTGTGGACTTTTGTGTGTGTTAGTTTTAAAATTAATCTATTTAATTATTTCTCGGTATGCCTTTGCATTCTTTAAGATATTTCGCTTTTTTGCTTCTCCATTTTCATTCATTGTCCATATTGTTCTCCATTTGTTTAGCATTTTTTCAATTGCGTTTTATTAAAATTACGTATGGCTTCCAATAATTGTTCCTTTGGTTCGCTAGAAGGAGACGTAGCCATTGAATTGCTTTCTATTTTAAGAGATTTTAATTTTATTTGCATTTGTGGGGCCATTGGTATCGTTGTTGGCGATCCTGTCGTCGAGCTCATAGCTTTTCCTCCTCTTACTGAAGGATTTTCTAAAAGCATTGAATTCGTTTTTTTCAAATTCAAATTCAATTTGTTTGCTGGTATTTCTGATGGCGATGGTCTAATCTCACCATTCATTTTGGGAGTTTCTATTTTTCTCACGTTTGGTTGCTGCTCTTGGTTTCGTTGTTCTTCTTTAGCTAGGATTTTCTCTTTTAAGCCTGTGCGTCTTAAGGTGTTTTGCCCAAAGGGAGCCGCTACGACTTTCTCCTCAACGACAGTTCGCCTTTTATCATTTTGCGTTATTGAAGTGGACCGTAGTAGGGTATTATTTGGGACTGCAGGCATACTATATCTGTTAACGTTTCTGGGCAGTGCAAAAAGGTTGACAATTGTTTGGGTTTGAGGTCTTAAAACTGCTTCTACAGTGGGACGCTTCTCGTCTCTCTGCAATTTCGTTATATTGTCATCCGTTTTCAAATCTTTTAAAGGCTTTACCGTTACAGGTACTTTAAAGTCATGCTCGGTTATACCCAGACGTTGAAGGAGGGCAGGTCGGGAGGAGGAGGAGGTGGTCTTCAAATTTTCTCTTTCTGTCTGCCGATTAATTTTCGGACTTTGCATTACGTTCTTGAGAGCTTCGGAACTCTTCCCACCAAATATGTAGTCTCCTTCGTTTTTGATAGCCACCTGTACCTTAGGACGTTCATTCCAAGTGCCGACATTAACGCTTGGCGGCCCGGTATACTTATAAAATTTAGGTTGTTCTTTTGCTACCAGCTCAAGGTTAGCTTTGGTTTCGTTACATTCCTTAATGTCTTGATTCAAATTCCTTTCGTTACCATATTTTGGCTTCAATTCCAAACTGGTGAACTGTAATTCTTGTGAGGGTCTGCGTGAGTTTATTAAGTCTTTAGTGATCAATTCGTCATCGCTGTTCTGTGTTATGCTGCTTTTGCGTTTATTGCTAAGTATGGTCTTAATTACCTCTAAACTTTGCAAAGAAGGCGATTCTCCTATACTTAGCTCGCTAGACGAACGTCTTCGATTTAAGCATACAGTATTCTGCTCGAGTTTATGGAGCGATAATTGCGAAGAGCTGCGATTATTTAATCCCGAGACTTCCGCCTTTGGGTTAGTGCAGTGAAAAGAGTCGGCTCTGGAAATGGATCGACGTTGCTTTAGACTCGTTACACTACCACGTTTGCGATATAATTTCTCATCTTCTCCCAGGCTGTTAGTGGGAGAGGGACTTGAATCGATTTTTGTTTCATTCGAAATCTCTTTGGGGTTATAGTTATTGATAACTAAAGGTGTTATGGTAAAATTATTTAAAGGATTAGGTTTAACTGCTTGGATTTCCAATTGCTCAGTTGGTTTCTTAATTAGGGAATCTACGCCTTTCTCTTGCAGAATTAAGGACAATTCTTCAACCAAACCATTTAAAGGAGCAGTGGGACTTTTAAGTGGATCATCTTTCTTGTAATTTCGTCCCTTGTCTATTGCTGTCACTGCTTCCGGCAGAGCTTCACTGCTCTTATTAATTGCTTCAATATCTTTTCTATTTTCTAATCCTTCCTCCTCTTTTTGGAGAATCTCAAAATTTAGCATAGGCCTCTCTAAAATCTTTGGTGTTATTGGCTTATCGGTTTTCTTCTCCTCTTCCTTTTTACCTAAGGCTTTAAAATCAGCAAAGTTAGGTGGCGGCGATATCGGCATACCGAAATTCCAAGAATTCAATTCAGATGGAGCGTTTGGACTTACAATTTTGTTTTCTATTCCTTCCTGTCCGCTATTTACCACTGTCAGTTCTTCTGTAGTTTGAGTCTCATTTAGGGGCTTAACTAGCGTTTTGCCTAACTTGAAATTGTATACCTTAACCATATCATCATCGTCTGAGCTGGATTCGAAATTCGACTTGCATTCCAATGCAGAAACGTCCGACGGTAGACTATCTGGTACTGGAGAGGGTACAGGCTCTCCTATACCTGAGTCGGCTTGTTTGGAGACGTTATCATCATCTAAGGAGCTTTTCAGCTGATCGATGTGTTGATTCCCGAAACAAGAGTCCTCTTCTGGTACTTCGGAAGAAAGTGAACGTGGCTCGGGGGTAGGAGTGCGATTTAAAATAACTTTGGAAACATTTGAAATCATTTTGGGAGACTGGTTATTATCGCTTTCAAGATTCTTAAGATCATTTTCAACATCGGTAGCGTTTAACAAAGTAGTGCTGGTCATGCGCGGCACCGGCTTTGGTAAATCAATCTGTTCCGTCTTGTGTAAATTTTCAATATTTTTGATATCTTGAACATTAACATCTCTGTCGCTTGTTAAAGTATTTAATGACGTATGTGATTGATTAGTTTCCCGTTCTAAAGGTTTAGGTGGAAGACCATCTGTTTTTAAAGACCTTTGTAAGCAATCTTCGCAACTTGAACTTGAAGCATTTACACTCTTTAAGGATACGTTGTCTTCTGGCGGACATAATGAATTTCGAGGCGGCGGTGCCGGGGCCGATTTCTTTTTGATCTGTACAATACGTTTACGTGGACACGGCTCTGGAAATTTACTCCATGTTTCGCTCACTGAACTGTTTAAAGTTAAAGTGCTTCCTGAACTGCTGCCACCCTGTTGCAAATTTAGAGCATTTTTCTTCTGAACTTGGGCGTATAAGACTGTATCGTCTGTGTAACCGTTCGAGTCGACAGATTCGTAAATCCTTTCTTCTTCCATATCGTATTCTCTTTGATTTCTGGCTTTGTTTGTTTCCATCTCCTCACTTTTATGACAATTGTTGCCGTTAATATCGCTTTGTTGGCTTTTGTCGGGAAGAGGGGATAAGTTAAGTATTGACTCTGAAGTAAATCTCCTTCGGAATTCTTCATTAGGTGAAAGTGTCCCTCCATCGTCTCGTTCGACCTCTCCATTTTCTATAATTGGCGGTGATTTTTCCAATATAATTTGTTGACTTGGTGGTCGTGGAGCTGCTCTTTTTTTACGCGGCGGTGCCGTCACCTTAGGCATGACCGTCTTTTTTAATAGAGTGGGTGCTATTATAGGAGTTCGTGTGTAGTTCAATCCGGACGAATCCATTGAATTTAAGGAATTAGTAGAACTATAAGGACTAGTGGTTTTTGTAGTCGTGTGCTTGGAAATGCGGCTACTAAACTCTGAAGAAGTTAACGAGTCGCGTATGATGGAAGTACGACGTAGTTTAATTATCTCATCAGCGTTGAAGGTGTCATAGGATTCCGATTTGTGACATAGACGTATTTCCGAAAGACCCACAGCTCCGATAGTCAGATCGCAACTGTAAACCTGACTAGGATCGACTAAAAAGTAAGACATATATGTGTTACCAATCATTTGAACAAATTGTTTGTTTTTTTTTTTTTTATTTTTTTTAAACTATTTTACCTGGATTACGAAACTCGTATTTGTCTATATCCAAAGATTTATTATCGCATACCAATTCCAGCAATTTAGTAAGAGGTGTCCGAGCCCCCACACGTGTTACATACAATTGATCTTTAGGCAATAGCACCGTTATGCGAAAAGTTTGTTCAAAGGGAGCTTTACTAGTGGCCACTGGCAATGGCGTAATACGATTGTATTCCAATTGACTCGTGTCACTTATATTGCTGGATGAAATGGATAAATTATTACTCGATTTTGATAATTTTCCATTCGGTGTAGATTTTTCTGTGAATGCAAGCGTATAAAGAAATTCATATAACTGAATAATGCGTAAATAAAAAATACACGGGTATATATTATTCAAGGATCGATTTTTATCATCTCAAATGGAGTCGCGGCCGCCTTTAGATGCTTACCTTTATTTTTTCTACCAAGCCAACGGTTGAGGGTAGAAAAACCGGATTTACTCATGTTGATATTCAAGACGAATTATATCGGAACGGTGCTTTCGGTCCTTGAAAGGACAAGAAGAGAAAATCCTGTAAATCTGTGTTTTGACTTCGCTCTCTCACGTTACCGAAATTGTTCAATAATTTTCCATTATATGAAAATTTTATTTAAAGATGTCAAAAGTGGCGTTCAACCTTCTGCAAAGAGACGTAAATGAAATTAATATATAAAAATTTTTATTAAGTCAAATCTTATCTATTTTGAAATAAAAACTTTATCAGCTTAATTTCTCCAGATAAGTGTAAAATAGAGAGCTTATGTGTCGAAAGTAAGAAAGGAATTTATAATCAATTATGCTTTATCGCCGTCTTTCAAGATAAACCCCAGTCCGCAGAAAGCGAAACAATTTTTATACATATATTAAATCAATGTTTATCATATGTAAAGTATAGGATCATTAAATGAATATTTTTAACTTGTAATAAAAATTGAAAGCAAAAAGGTATAAACATGAATATTTTTTCTCATGTAAACGATCGATTCCGGGTATCGGTAAAAATTCAGGTTTGAACATTTTCCCGTATAAACCTTCTCCTACTGCAGCAATGACGCGAATAGTCTTGATTAAATAAGGACGTGAGGAGAGTTCGTGGTTTTATTGAGGTAAGCCAATCCTCTAACATAACCTCAAAGTAAAAAGTTCAATAGAGTTACATCGCCTGATTTTTGTGGTAAGTTCATAGTGACTTTGTCATGAAATTTATGACACATTGTTTGACTTTGTTAAATTTGCAATAAGTCAGTCCAGGATGCCCAAGTGAAGTGCGCACGCAAAATGAAAGGAAGCTATAAATTTTGGTAAGCTATATAACATAGCCATGAAATAGTGAAGAATACTTTTGTTGGCCAACAAATCACGTAGAGTATGCTCCCCCTACCCCCCGCTACTTTTTTCAATTTTTTCCTACATCACTAGCAACATTTATGTCCTGTCCATCGTTATGATAGCCTCTCCAAAACGATCAAGTGCTATTAGCCAAAGTCAAATTTCCGCGATGTTGCCAAATTTCAATTACATTTTTTTTAAATATATTTTTTTCGAGTTGTTTTTCTGTGACATATGAGCTTTCGATAGCCTAAGTTCAATGACATATATTTCGTTTAATTGCTTAAGCTTGCTTAAGTGCTTACGGTCATGCGCTATAATATAATTATGTTTTTTGAATTTATAATTACTGTTGGCTATGTGTAGCATTAGGGAAGGCATACGGTTAATGTTAGTTAACCATAATGTGGCTTATTTGTGATAATTAATTGTTTTAATTCATTAAAAATTCATAACGTAATAATAATGATAATAATAATAATAATGAGAAATGAAGTTAAGAACAATTTCTACTTTAATTTCGAAAGTTTTCTTTAATACAACGATAGACTTTGTTTATAGATTATGTGCGTTCATAATATGTTAAGTCAGTGGGCTTATGATTGAAGAATTATCATGACTAACCTCGGCCACTTCATTTATTAGGCATTACAAACGAATTGATTCAATTTTCATTTATTTTACCAAAGTACAGAAGAAGAAGAAGAAGAAGAAGTGTATAGAGCCACAGTGTTGGTCAATTATTATAATCGAGTCTTGCAAAATCAAAATGTTTTAACTATGAGATCTTTCGGTTTTTCCGCACAGATGTTGCCCCCAATTCTCTGTCATCGCCTATGTGCCGCGCCTATGTCTAAACGAATGAAACGTAATATATTTCTTTGTATTGTATGTAAGCATAAGATCGTAATAGAAATCTATAACGGCTATCATTCGTACGGCTGCTTCTCCAACGGTCTGTTTCAAGGATCCAAGTGTCTAAACTGGCTGTAAGCAGAAATGTTGTGCCAATATAAAAAGGAAATATTCGTTGAAATGCATAACGAGGAGGAAAGAACGAATATTTTCCTTGCATCAGTAGCTTATGACGTGGCCGAACCACGTATAAAGAGAATCGTATTACGCGAAACGGAGCACTAATTACTAAATTTTCTTTTCCAAGTGACTGACACTTGTGGTCGGGCAGTTTCTAGCTGGTTCTATCGAAGTGAAACGGTAACCGATCCGGTTTGGAAGTCGATAATCAAAAAAATCGAATCTAATCTCAATACTACGGGCTATTCCGTGGCATTGAATTAAGCTTCAAGCTGTTGATTTTCGGTTAATAAAAGATGTTTGGTGGATAAGGGCAAGTGTGGCTATAAAATCTGAAAAAGTAGATTCGTTACATAGGGATAAAACTCAATTTTTTATTATAGAACTTTATTTTCAATAATTTGTCACACTTAGCAACCTGGAACCCTGTTGGCACGTTCTATTAAAGACAAGCCAGTGCAATCGTCTAAACAATCAATTATGATCACTAGGGCAACTTTTGACATTTTACAAGAAAGAAGAACAAATGGAATGACTTGCCGTCATAAGAAGTAGAGGAAAGACGGCTTTACAAACGCCTCTAGACGATTAGTATTAATTGAAGTATTTTTGTTACTCAGAGTAAAAGTGATTCCAAGCAGTTTTCCTATACGATCATAATTAATCGGAGATCATTTGAGATGATAAATATTGAGGGTGAAGTTTACCTTTGTAATAAATTATTAATAAACATTTGGCGAATCCGTGCTGTGATATCCTTCAAATGTCCGAACTTGAACCTGAAAACCTTCATTTTAAAAAAAGGCAAAGCAAAGGCCTACAAGGTCTCTGGCCTACCTTAATCAGCTAACTTTATGAAAATGCAGTAAATCGATATAAATTGTTATAAGCATTGAATAATAAGTTTATTTATTTAAAAAAAAAAAAAAATTAATTATTATTCAATAGCAGGCAATAATTGCATCAATAAAAATGTTTTTTCATTTTTTTGTTGTTGTTGTAATTCCTAATAATCTACGACGAGAAAATTTTTTTAAAACGCATTTGATTTTAAAATTCACTTGATATAGTCATGGATTAACTCATCTTCTATAAATACATAAATCAATACAAGTAAATAAATTGTGTATTAAAATTTATATTTATTTATACGATAATAAATAAACAATTACTTTGTCAAGATATTTTAATGGCACTTTTTAAAAGCGCATAATAAAAGCATTTTTAACAAAGAATTTTCAAATACTTTTCCGCAAACAATGAAAGGATACGTAAGGTGCCTAAGATAACTTGGACCTTTTGCAAAGCTACAAAGACATTGGATGACAATTAATCGACTCACGTTTATTTATCATATTTGAGATTTGAGATAAATTTTGATTTTCGACGTACGATGGTGTTTAGAGAGTTTAAATAAACTCCTTATTTGCTTGTCTTGGCAAAACCTTTTTGTGGGACATAGTTTTGCAGCAGATGATTGAGGAAATTTGCACCAGTTTTTTGATATATCTCAGCCATACCATAGAATCATTGTACCAAAAGTTGAGAGGATTCTCTCGAAAATGTCACATCTGCTACTTGGAAGTGTGCTGCCCGAAAGCAAGGCATTTGAAAACTGCTCCTCGGTCGTTGGCAGATCAACGATGATAGATAACGCGTACACGCGAGACTTTCCAGTTTCGCAGCAATCGGACGATCTTATTTTATTCTTTATGTGACTTAAATCCCCTAATTGATATTTGGGAAGCGTGTCAAGTGACAACTATCGTTATACATTACTGCTGGGGAGGGGTACAAATGTACTCTACTCTGGAGTTGCATGTGAGCTATGGACAAATAGACGTGTCAAGCAGACCTCGTCTTGAGCGACGATATTTTATAACGTGATAGACCAACAGCGATGATAACTGATAACCCTTAAAGAGTATCCATTCTCTGGGCCTATGCAGACACGGTGAAATTAAGGCGTGCTCGGTTAAACATCTGTATCAATCTCAAGACATATGTCTGCTGTTATATTGATAAATGTGACTTATATATGTTTGGCGATTCTCGATTACTTCCCCTCAACCAAACTAATTGCCTTGTTTAACATGTTAACGCATCGGTATCGATTTACGTTCATCAATATTGGTTGCACGTAATAAAAGAAAATTTGCGAAAACACTCCTTGCCACACTCCTATCGCCCTAGAACGAACATCCACAGGGTGAAAGGGACGGAAGTACGTTAGTGCAGCTCGTGCTAATGTCTATCAGGTATTCTTGAAACGCTTCTGACGTCATTGCGCCACATACATCTATACATCTATCGTACACAGTTGACGGATGATGGCCAGAGGTTGGAGCATGCACGCAAAAGCCCACTCACTGAAAACTATAAGCTTGAAAGGGAAGCTGAACCTTTGTCATAGAATTTGATTTAAATTTTTACACAAATATCTCACATAGTTAAGTAAAGTTTTCTAGTCGAAAAGTCATAGTTCGTCGTAGTTACAAAGAATTGATTGCGATTAAAAGACATGTAAAATTCTCCATCCGCCATCATCATCCACCAGTTCTCCCAGAAGGAAATTGCTTTCTTTGCATTTTCTTCACATATTTTCGTATCGTCTAATGAAGAAAATGGAGAAGTGAAACAAGTAAAGCATACGTTTATAGAGAGATAACGGTTCGGTGATTTTTTACAAAGTAGCGGTAAATGTTTTTTTTTCAAAAGAATATAAAAAAAAAAAAAAATATATTGAGAACAATTTGAATCAATCAAGCTTCAAATAAACAACAACAATAACAACAATAACAGCAACAAACAATGTATTACTGATTGATTTCGTAATTTTGATCAAAAAAAAAAAAAAAAAAATTTATTTTATTTTTTTTATTCTCAGATTTATTTATTGGATAAGTGATGGTAGAGAGACAATTCATAATTTTTTAAATTTACTCTGAATTCTTGATTACATAAAATGTTTAGCAAATTGGCAAAAAAATAAAATCTAAGCCGCAAATAAATTATATTTAATTGCTGGCGAATGCCTGTTGCTCGATAATCAATTTGTCGGTTATTGTTATTATATTTTTTTTTTTTTTTATAATTAATAAAATTGACATAAAAGCGTTTATTCTATTAGACTTTCAAAGTGAGTAATTTATTTACTTAATATTTTTATTCACCTTTTTTTTTTTTTTTTGCTTTTAATAAAAATGTTAAATAAATATAATATAAAGTGAAGCAAAAAAAAAAAAGCATTCTTTGCAATTTTCACTTGAATTGTTTTACAATTGTTCAAATAACCGCTTTTTTCTGTTCCGCTGTTGCTGTTCATCGCATCGCTTATAAACATCAGTTATTTGTTATTTGATCATGACTAAATATATGTGAAAAGCCCTTAACTATAAAACTGAAGACGTAATTCGCTAAAGTTAACGAATGACAATCGAGATTGCCAGGCATTCTAATCAGAGGTGATTGAAAAGTCACTCATTAAAATCAAGCTGAATATATTATACACACCCGCACGCACACACACATAACACATAGCAATAAGCAATAAACTCACGGATCTGAGTTTAGTTTTTAGAACAATTTCTACACTTTTTTTCTTTTACTTACGTACTTAGGTTAAGGCGTTTATCTATTTCTACATCTACACGCCATATAAGGTTCCTCATGAATAGTGAGCGCTTTAGAGAAAGTTTTCGGTTTCAATATTTTATAGCAGCAATTTAACAAAAAAAAAAAAAAAAAAATATGAACGATAGAAAATTTGGATCACGTAGGTCTATTTTTTTAAACTCAAACGTATGTAGGGATTATCGTGACAAGCATGATAGATACTCTCAAATTTCTAGATTTCTATGATGGAAACTGAAAAATAATAAAATGTTTGGAGAGTAAATTAAGTTCACTTAACTTGGTTCACGCCGTATGAGGTCTCCTATGAGAGGTTCGTACGAGGTTCCATGAAAATAATGTGTCATTTTTCACATATTGTTATCAAAACGAGTACGAATAACTGCATTGAACGAGAAGGATGTACGGGGTCGGCTTTATCGAATCATAATGTCCTTACGTTCTAAAATGTATTTAGAAGTAATATGGTGCAGTTGTGTGCTTTGGCCCAAGGACAACTCACTATTCGAGCCCGTACTCTCTCTCCCCCGTGTTTGAGCCGCTTACGAATTGTTTCGCTTTTATTATTGTTATTATTATTATTATTATTATCATTATTTTCATTATTGATGTTAATAATATTTTAATTTGTCTTCTTGAAAATGTACAGAAAACGTCTGAAATGCATGACTAAATGCATTTAATATTACTTACATATATACATATATACATGTACAAGCATCCATGTATATAGAATGCATATACATAAATAAATACACGTTATGGAGGAATGAGAAAAGGAAAGAACATATAAATATATATGGGAGTGAGTGTAAATTATTTATCAAAGCACGCAATACCATGAAAATGAAGTTGTAATAATAATAATAAAAAAAAAATATTAAAAAAAAAGAAGGAAATTACAGTAAAAAAAAGAGAAGAAAACGTTATAAGGTAATGACACTGAGGCAATTAGAAAACAAAAATAAATTCTTTTTCTTTATCAGAAAGAGACATGAAAATATTTCCACAAAAAAAAAAAAAAAACTATTAGAACATTATTTTATCGGAGAATTTCAAATATGTCAAGGTTGAGATTATAAAGTAGAATAAAATAAATTGAAATGATTCGATTAAAACAGCCCCAAAAAAAGTCATATACGATTTGCTCACTTTTTGTTGCTATCTTTTCTATAAACGTTGCACACTATTCATCCTATTTTCTGATAAAAATGTTGTTCCATTATTGTGACACTTGGGTGAAAAGCTCAAGCAAGCGATTACATTGTTAAAAGACTTCAGCCCGAAGCGAAAAACATGATGGATGGACGAGGCAAGATCCGGGCTAAACGGTATAAATGTCCAGTGCTCTCTCTCTCTCTCTCTCTCTCTCTCTCTCCCTACTGGGTAATATAATTATTACTGCTATGGTTTGGCATTGTCGTGAACGACGTTTTTCCTGGACGTTTTCCGTCTGGTTGAGTTAGATTATCCGGCATCTATTCGAACTTTGTCACCGTTTGTGAAGTTTCATTCATTCTTGGATTAGTACTTTCGCAACGCATCCTGTTTTTGTTTGTGATTCATTTTTTGTTGCTTGTAGTCAATCTCTTCAAAATTGATTCATTTTTGTTTCGTTTCTTTGCAGCGATTCTTATACGAAAATTCTGTTCTTTTATGTGTTTTTTTCATACCAATTCTAAGAATTTCATTGAATTTATCGAGAATAGGCCGATTGAAGCCCTGATTGTCTTCAAAGAAACATCGCAGCGCCGATAACAAAAACATTATTAAACAGAACGAATTGTTTCAAAAGCCTCCGAAACGTTACCACGTTGCTCGCTCTGACGATTTTTTGTTCACTTCTATTCGTTTTCATTCGTTAAATCATTCTCGATTGAATTTACATATGCTATCACAGTCTTGATGGCTCGATACCACGAACTTTTCATTTTTTTTTTTTCTCTTTCCTTTAGAAGTGACTCAAGAATTCAAGTTCGACAATACCATACTTAATATTGAACAAATCATTTCAAAATATAATCAATGGCTAAAAAATAAAGATATTGAAGGCTAGGGGTGGGCCTACAGTTCGAATTATGAGTGCATCCGTAAAACGGCTTTACTTAGGACAACGAAGGAAAGGAATCCTTCAAGTTTGTTTAGCTTCTTTTTTTTTTCTCGTATTATTGCTATTTAGCAATGATCGCGCTTTCAACAGACAGACAGATATCAGACATATAGTAATGAAAATTGAAAATGATGAAGAAATAAAAAGAAAAAAAAAGTGTTTATTTTTAATTATTCTGGGAAATTTTTTTTGCTTTGGTCAATAATTCCCGGAACTTATTGATCGACATTATGTAATGATTTTGTCAATTCATCTATAGCCTAGAAATAAATATTACAAACTATATGCAATATGTGAATTTGTGATTAGCCTTAGCTTTTGCGTTGCGGCTGTCCGTTCGTCCGTTCATCTCAACCATCGCTTATTATTCGTAAGGAAATTAATGTGCAATAGGGTAATGAAATACTTATGCATTTGTAAAAAAAAGAGAACTTGAAAATTTGCTCAAAAAAAAAAAGAAGAAGAAACTTGCATATTTTAACGTTAAAAGATAATGTCCTGAAATGGAAAGAGGAAAATATTTACCAAAGTGATCCAAAAGTTCTCAAACTCTTTAACTAAGAAGATTACAATCTTTAAAGATTGCTTCAGGATATCAAAGCTCGGACATAATAACTTCATCCTACTTAGTTGCTATTAACATGCATTGGCATTTCACGTTATTCATCGTTGACTTAGTGATGATAGGCAAATATTGCTAATAATCATAAAATTCCGAATCGATTAAGTCCTTCGCCGTTGTCGTTACAACGCTTAATATATTTGTTTAAGATTTGCTTCTAGAAGCTATGAACTTTGCATTCTCGTTGATTAGAAAATAGAAAACTCTCCACCCTAAAGAAGGAGAGAAGGCACCAAAAAGGTCTTATTTAGTTTCGTAGCGATGACCGTAAATTTGGATTTCGTTTATTAATTGAAAGATTTCACTAAACAATCGAATGCATGATGGGACATTCTCGACACGCCCAAATCCCTCTGACTTCACTTTTCGATTTGTTCATTTCATTTCAATTGAATTTTTAATTTCTTTTAATTTATTACTTTAACTCATTTTATATTTTTATCCTTTTTTTTTTTTTTTGTTTTTTTTTTTGTGTTACTTTCTCATTTAATTAATTCGATTGAATGAAATAGTTAAGCATATAATTGTTGTTGTTGTTTTTTTTTCTCTTAACTTATTTATTTATTTATTTTTTTAATTTTTTTCTGTATCGCGTGAACTTTTGCCAAACGACGCGTAAAAACTGAAAATAAACCTTATCGTGTTAATTGAGTTTACCGTCATAGTTGCAGTCTAAGTATTGTCATTGGTGGTAGCTTCATTTGTACTTGAAGTTGATGTTGATGTTGTATTAATTTCATCGTCTTACTTGTAACGTCATTAAACATGGTATATGTATATATGTATAGGCAAAAAGTTTTGAAATTTTCAGAAAACTTAGTCTTCATATTTGGGGAGGACTGCCGGTCCTCCGACCATTGCATTTCATTCCACTTCTATATGAATCAAAGAAACCAAAAACCGATAAAAAAAAATAAATTAAATTAAAACTAACGGTTATGTCGACTTTGGGGAAATTCGCATACAGCAACCATTCGAAAAATGGCCATCGATAGTGAATAACTCCTAACTAATAACGAACGTGTCAATGATTTAACTGAGAATGAAGTTTGTTAATACTTTCGTAGCGGGTTTACCGATTTAACTGGGAATGTGTTAAGCAAGCGTCTTTTCTCACCTTGATAATGAAATCTTTTTATCTTTTTTTCTCAAATTATCCGATTGCTAGAAATTTAACATCAAACGAAGCGAGATGCGGATTGAATTTGTTGCCACCGTCTCTATGGGAACTATGTCTTTGTATTGCTTTCTTTCTCAATATGAAAATTTAAAAATTAAATTGATGGTCAATTATAACGAAATCGGCCCAGGATCATCTAGTCTAATATGATATGAGACTACTTTTGACATAAGAGCTTCATATATATATTTTATTTATTTATTTATTTATTGTCTGAATATATTTTCTAACTAAATTTAAAATGGCTGCCGGATAACTCCTCTGTATTGCACTATCGCACTATCGCCCTCGAGATTTGAATCGATGACCATTGATCAGTTACTCATCCTTCACATATATATTATTTCTTAAGCATTTAGTATTTAGATTAGGTGTACTGTATCCCAGATTCGTTTTAAAGCGAATGTGTTTTCCTCATTTATGTCTTTTCTAATTGTTTAATTTTTTTTAATTAAACTTTGTCATTTACATTACTCTCTTACGAATGCGAGAGTTTGATAAGAACTTTTTCCAATTTCTTCTTTTTTTTTTTTTTTTTGGTTTCATTTCACAGGTACGTGCTGTACACTTAAACGCGCGATAATGTAATGTCTAGGTGTGATGTGGATACCATGTTTATAAAGAGATATGGGTTCATGTTGTCTGAACAATTGCAAACGAAACAAGTAAAGTTGTTTGCAAAAAAAAAATAAAAATAAAAATAAAAAAGAGAAAAAACAATAACAAAACAAATAAAAGAATAAGAGATATTCTAATGCTTAAGGTATTTACCCACTATTGACCCACTAAAAAAAAAAAAAAAAAAAAAAAAAAAACCAAACAACTCTTATACAAGTAATACTTTCCAGCCGTAATCCGAATCTTGTAAGCGAGCAGCTTTTAATTTCTAAAACTTAAACTCCTTAAAATTCGAAACAAATTTTAACAGTTAGCTTATCTTGAGTTATTGTTCCATTCACTCCGTAATGCTTTATTAGATCTTACAGGTAAAACGCATCTCATGTTAAGTAAAAGTTGAAATCTTTTCCGCTATTTTAAGAAAGTATTTTCCAAAATTTTCACCCTATACGGAATTAAAGAAGAGTTTTATTTATATCAAGGCAAATACGTGTCTCTTTTCATGCAGGACCGCATGAGTATCACAACAGCGTAACCAGTGTTGAAAATGATTTTTGTTTCTCAAATTGCGATTCAATTTATATGGCGGTATATTAAATGTTTAGAAACATGTAAGCAGACTTCGCAGGACAAAGAAATTATTTAAGGTCATTGGTAAGAGTGCAGCAACAACTGCAGGAGTTTATGCTCTAAATCTGTTAGGATTTGAAAAGAATCGTAGTGTGTATGCAAAAATAACTTGTGAACCTTTTTTTCTTTTGTAAATGAGATATGTGTGACCCAGTGACCCTTGGCATTGCCTGTGCTGTTAAAAAATGCCGAGCAGACGGTGCTCTCTGCTACAGATCTCAATTCCGTAGACCCTAAAGTATAACTACTTTATTGCATTGATTTATGTTTGCTTGTTGATGCTTCAAAGCCAAAAAGTAATGTAAAAACTGTTTGCTTGAATGGTTTCCTATGAACTCTGCTAGTGCGTCTGATTAATGTTTTGCTCAAAAGTGTTATCTAGTTCGAGTGAGATGTATATTGGGTCCAGAAAGAAGAAATAAATAAAAAAAAACCCTATATCATCGACATGGACACGCTGTTCAGACAGAACAATAAACTAATGATTGAAGTACAAGTTAATTAAAAGTAGGAATACTCGGGGAGTACAGCAAAGGTGATTATAGCACATTCCAATTTAATGCTTGTGATATGACCGCGACCGTCATCTCACCTTAAAATGTACTAATGAAGTCGGTTTGTTTGATTTCGTCTCCTAAAACGTTTTGTTTGCTTTTTTTTTCTACGATCAGCTATTCATGAGACATGCGAGACGTGCGTGTACGTGGTGGTGATTAGGAAGGGTCATAGGAAGAGCAGGGTGAATAAAGGGAAAAGTGCTTGTGAAACGTGGGACTTGAAAATGGAAACATCAGATACGGCACGAAAGACCACTGCCGGTAGATTGCTCCAAAGGCGGGCAATTTGGTTGAAAATCGACAAGTTGCGGTACAGTTTTGCTGAAGCATGTGTAGCGTTTTCGAAGAAGTGAATTGGTGGACGTATCTATTTTACCTTCGTAGATCATTTGCCCTGAGAAAAGGGTACCAAGAGTTTCGGAAACACTTTCGTCGCACATGAGCGACTAACTCTTTCGGTGTATGCGGTCAATTGTTAGTCAAGTCTTTCTTGCATCGCTTTAAAAACCCTAAGTCCTTGACAGTGTGTTTCGATATTTCGAACAAATGTTTTGTAAAACGAAGATCGTTTTGTCTTTTCACGCACAAAAGATCAAGAGTTGCCGATCGTCTTACATTGACTTCATTAAAAGGGGAGGGGTTGTTCATCACTTTTGCTATGCGTTAGCAGGCAGCTTTGGGTTCTGGTCACATTAAAGCTTATCCTATTTACCCGACCCCATTCGGGTATTTTTATGATGTCCCCACTTAACCTGAATCTTTATAAGAAACAAAAAAAAAAAAAAAATCTCGTAAAGAGATGACTGAAAGTCATTGAGCAAAATCTAACATCTTTCATGGAACTGCTTGCGCGGGGGATCTTCTCTTATGCGTATAATACCTACGCTTGATGAATATCTAATGGAAACCTAACGGCGATGTTCAATTGGTTGGTGCGGATTGTCTTATTTGCGTTGTCTTATGTATCTTAAAAAGTTACAAAAAGTTAGTCGAATTTTCGGTAAACTTCGTATTCTGCATAGCTTGTAAAGCACTGGTCGATCCCACAAACAAGCATTGCGTAAAATTTGAATACGATCGCAGCAAATCGTTTATGAGAAATCGTGCTTTGCTCAATTGCATCGACAAAGACTTAAGCCGAACCAGAAGCAGACGTTGAAGTAGAAGATATAGAAATAGTAGGTGTTTTCACAGAATAGTTTTTCTCTCTCTCTCTCTCTCTCTCTCTCGCTCTCTCTCACTCTCTCTCTCCAAGAGTGTAACCACGGTTGACATCTTGTAGCGATAAATGTAGGCAAATGGATTTTTTCGGAATTCCATAGCCTTTGTAAATCCGTAAGCATGGGAAAATCGACGTCGGTAGTGAGTAATGGAGAATGCAACGATTCTATCTTACTTACCTTTTATTAGGAGTTTAAATTTATTAACCTAGCGTTTACCAGTTTAATGGGGGATTTGATTGTTTACTGCGTCAGCGAAATGAACTCATCGTCGTCTTCGTGTTCGTCGAAGGCAAACGGAGGGAGTTTCGAAAATGTGTCTTATGTCATGTTTATCTCTTTATTGTGCTATCAATACTAATAACAATTTTGTAAGTGTTTTTTTTTTCCTTTTAATTAAATGATTTCTTCTTCTTCTTCATTTTATTTTATTATTTTTTTTTTTTTTTTGTTAGAATTCTATTATCGATGAAAATCGCCACTTAATAGTAGTCTTATCAGAGCTACGAGATTCTCAACGCAATTTACAATTATTTACGTTTTGTTCATTAAATTGATTACATAAAATTGTAATTTGAAATGAAAGAACTACTTACTGCTTACGGCATTTTTATCTTGGTTTTTCATTGACAAAGGTACAAAAAAAAAAAAAAGAAGTTAATATATAATTTTTTTTTTTTTTTTTTGGAAGAAAACGTGTACTTTTTAAGTAAGAACTTTGTTTTTTTTCTTGTTTTTTTTTTTTTTAAATTTAATAATTTATTTTTATTTGTATTTAGTTTGTAATTAACGTCTGTTTTCGTTAGTGTTTCGAAAGCAACTGAATATTGAACATTCGGTTTTAATAATATAACACTTAACTAAATTAGAAAAAGAAATCAATGCTACTAAGGGGTGTTTGTTTTCATTGTTCCAACTTTAAAACGCTCTTACTGTAGGTTTTCTTTGCTAGATCTTCAATGAAACATCTTTGCCATGTGGGCTAAAATGTTGATGATGTCGCCAAATGATGGCATCATCGTAAGGTGCGTTATGGTATATATTTGGTAAAACTATTTTAATTATATTTAATTTTAATAATAATTTTTTTATTTTTTCTATTTATTTTTTTTTTTTTTTGATAAAATTATCATTAATAACAATGAAACGGAAACCTAGCCTTCGATAAAAACTCTACTAGCACTTTGTAACAACTTAAAGTATATTTTGAGGA